AATCTTCACCTGTGGCTCTTAGCTGGGTTACGATGAAAGTTTATGGGTAATTGATCGTATGTAATTATGTAAACTCAAACCAACTTATGAGAATTTGGATTCTCAAGCTCGTTTACGGTTTACTATCTACGTTTATGAGCTTATTATTAAGATGCTATGAATTTTTTTCTACTTTTGAGTCAACGCAAATTAGTTTATGTGTTAGATATTACATTTTAATTATGAATTTCATGTAGTTATCCACTTATCTAAAATCTACACACTCACATTTTACATACTATATGTTGTACATAACATATTTTAGCTATTTTAGAGGGTGCGTAAAAAACTTACAATTTTACGTTTTGATTCTACGTTTTATGATTTTACCCATTTCCCGCTTCTAGGTAGAATCGCGCTTTTAACTGCATTGATTGAGTGACCATCCAAATCAAAACCTAATTCTTTTTCTTCAATTCTCCATTCATCCTTTCACTTTTCCTCCTGTTAACAAGATAATTATGCTGATTAATTATTACTTAGTAAATATATGAGAGTTAGAGAATATTGCTTCGGAAAATATCGTACTCTATCCTATGGGTTAATGGTTGTTTAGGATCATATAATTTGAAACATATTACGAATTATTGTACTTTAGTTGACTTCATGATATAGTAGGTTCGTTAGTGTTATAATTCAAAATTTATATGTGAAGTCTTAGGCATAATGATGTTGAATGTCGGGGCAAATATTATCCACGAGTACGGGGATGAGTTTGCCAAACATTCTCCCGCATGGGTATGAGGCAGGTACGAGTTTGGATATTTATAAACTGGGGTGAGGATGGTTTAGGCAAACCCGCCCCATATTGTCATCCCTACGAAATAACAGTTAAGATAAGATGACTTACTCCGTGATTCAACTAAATTGATAAGACTAACTTCTTGTCCTGTTATTAACAATCGGTCATGGGGAATGAGGACTTATAGGAGACCAAGCTCAGAGGCGATGGAAGGGATCCGTGTTGAGATTGAGTAGACCACCGACAATAGAGATGACAATTTGAACCCCCCCGGGTCGGGTATTACCCGTCCTGATCTGCGATAGAGCAGGTATTACCTAATCCACAGTAGCGTGGTGCAGGGCATGTGTATCTACTTTTGACCTGGCCTGCCATGCCACGCCTCCCCCTTTCTTAGCCAATTCTATATCAATTTCTTACAATATCTATTCATATTTCTTCTAATTTGACTTTTCTTCAACTAGTTAGACTTGATCTTTCAACTAGCTATACTCAATTACTCATTCTATTATCACTGTCTTTCATTCTTAAAGTGTTTCCCTTGTTTGATAGTAAAAAGCAAATTTTTGCTTGTATTTTCTCAAATAACATGTACAAGTGAATCGATCGGCCCCGTCCCGTATCCACATAGGTACTCGCCCCGACCCATACTTAATGCGAGACATGTATCAGTATTGGGGTACTTGCTCCGCCCACCTCATTGCCATCCCTAGACCACGACTAGCAAAAGGCATATGTGTATGGAGACTTTTTATGTGAAAAGAGGATCGATTAATTCAATTGTGGGCGGAGGACGCCATTAAGGGTATATCGGTTTGTTTTCCTAGTCAAAAGGTGGATAATAGAGTTTGGGTAGATTGGATTGGGTGGGTCGGGCGGATTTTGATCATAAAACGGACACAACCGCGTTTAAACGGATTGATATTTCACCCACCATCCACCCACATTTAGTCTCACGTTGGGTCGGGCGATGGTGGATGATGCGGGTGGGTTTGCGGGTTCACCCACATCACAATGTATATAATATAAATGAGACAACTTGACATGATAATCGGTGGAGAGAGTTATCGAGCGGAAACAAGATGCCATAGGGAAAAAATGTCGAATTAGTTCAGAAAATGGGTAGAAATTTTATTATGGGAGAGTTTTCTACAGATGGAGATGATTATCAGGTGCATCGAACTAAGGAGAATAATTCAACGGAGGAAAGAGAGGTAATCTAGGCACAAGAATCAAAGGAAAAAATAAAGAGAAGAAGAGAGGATTTTGATTTGGAAGGTTGACTCTGAGGTTCAATCTCCAGGAGCAACCCTAGTTTCCGTCTAACGTCTCAACTCTCCACTCTTCAGGGCCAACGATTTTGTTCTTTTTGCTGTTGGGTTAAGAGAGTCACTCACGCACAGGCCCACAACCAACCCGCCATCCGGCGGATGACTCATAGCGCAACCCGTCACCCACCCACAGACCCACCTACATAACGAAATTCGCGTAAAATGTGGGTGGGTCGGCACAAGCCCGCGGGTGATCCGCCCACATGCCCAGCCCTATGAATAATTAAGTGAAATTTATTATCGATTTTTAATGAGTTGGAATGCTGGCAAACTTAGATTGGCAGAATTTTGGATGAAAATAGACAGAAACAATCAGTTTAATTGACACGTCACTTATTTAACGATCAACTATAAGAGTTGACCGCCAATCAACAAAAATTATTAACGGAGACTAACGACCAGTGACCAAACTTGAACTGTTAACCTAATTTAAGTGACTATGAATTGAATAAAATAATTCTAGTGGCTAACGTGAACTTTGCTAGTAATTCAAGTGACCAAACTTTCAATTTAGCGATAAAAAAAATAATTAGTTAACTAAAGTCAAACTGTCAAGCATATAACATTGAAGAGCTAGCTAGGGTATAGAAATGCTCCATGCACAGAACCCCACCATAGCTAGCTTAGCTAGAGGCTAACAGAGCTCTGTCACTATTTCCTTCTTTGTTTGGCACCCTTTTAATTTCCCCTTTTACCTTCACCCACCCCTTAAACCAAAGTTTAAAGGTTATTTAATAGAATACTTGAAAAGCAGAAAGTGATGATACCCTTCACAATTATATATCATGATATTTTTTTTAATTGTAATTAACACCAAAGAAGACAAAGAGACAAGAACATATCTTGTTCAATTGTGATTCAAGTTATTCCAAATCACAAAGATTTGTCGGTCCATGATCAGGATTTACTACACAGTGTGGAGAAATATACAGTTCCCACAAGATTTCCATTATTCTTTAAGCAAAGACCACTGAAGAAATAATTTATATCTTCTGAATATGATTAATTTCATCTTAATTCGGGACACGTGTTTGTATTTGGCTTGCCAGAACATGAAACGAAATGGACGAATTCTATAGGCTAGCTAGTGTATCTGCAGAAGGTTGAGGTTCTACTAGTTGAACCAAATTTGCAAAATTTGGAGCTCTCTCCAAGATCGAGGAGTGGAAGAGTACAAGTGAGAAAGTCAGTTATGCAAAGTCTAGAAAACCCAGTTTTAAGATCTATTTGGTTTGGTTTTAGTGATACTTAAATCAATGTATTGTGATCAATGCGTGTATTGTAATATATATGTAATTAAGGAAAATGATGTGATGTATTTTGCATAGTTTGATTTTGGTGATAGTTCTTTTACTTTTTGTGGGAAATATCACTTTTGTCCTTACTTTTATTAGAACATATGTATATAATAGGGGTATACTTGGAACGGAAAATGAACCCAACAATCTCCTGAAAACTATCTCAAGTTTTAGTAGAGATAGTACTATCACTCATTTTGAATGATAGTTTCCATCACATCAAACAAACAATGCATGTATTGTTTGTGCAGAAAATTAAAAAAAAACAATGAATTGTAGACAATACATACATTGTAACTATCACAACCAAACAATCACCAAAACCAAACGACACCTAAATTAATAACATGTTGGTGTTTGTAACTTACTGATCATTCGATTGTAAGCTGTAACTAAAAGTTTCACTACTACTTAGCTTCTTCCTGTGGTCATAGAAGGTTCATCACTGAGCTAATGATTCTTTCCAACATTCTGCTCTTATTTAGGAAGCTTGTTGGGCTGCTAGGTAGATGAATGCATCAATCATCAGCGTACCCAACTAGTATCAACCCATGTAATGTAAGCCGATCGAGAAGGCACACTTGAAATTCAGACCAAAGATCTAATCCATACCGCTTTCCATGCAGTTCAGATATATGTACAGCAGCACTCTCAACTTCAACTAGCAAGATCAGTTTGAGATAGACAAACGAAAAAAACATTCTAGTCATTCGATCCCTAGCTCTTCGGAGCAACACGATCACCAAATTCAATAGTACTAGACTATACATATGAAATAATAGAACAAAACATACATGATACATGAGATCATCTATTACCATTGCAGAAGAGGACTGAAACTCAGGATAGATAAATGGGTTTGTTAATTAAGCACATGATATGTTAATTTTTGAAAATGATTTTTAGAATAAATATACAAGGGTTAATTACGAGTTTAATTTCCTTAGCAATCCTAATACTAGTAGAGATTCCCAACCTCTATACTCCTTCACCGCTGCAATCCTGGAGAAAATTTATATACATATATTTTAATGTATATATATATATACACGAAAAAAGCTAGAAGTAGCATGCCGTACGTTAGGGGGAGTAGAACTAACTAGCTAGCTAGCCTGGTACTGACTGACTTATGCTGGAGTTCCTTGAAACTTCACAAATTAGGAAGCCACAGAGATCCAAATATAGCCAGACAGACTTACCTTCATAACCATTATATATATAGAGAGATTCAGAAATATAGATATCAGCAGAAAAGGAAAGGAGAAGCCAGAAAAAAGGGTAAAGGCAAATCCAGTTTTTGTCGCCTTCACAATCACATATATGTATTTCTATATATAGAATAGAACAACCCTTCTGGCAGCAGTAGTAGTACTGGAATTAATCCAAAATACAACACACCCATCTTCAACTTCAACAACATAATTAATTTTACCCTTATATATAATAATAATATATAATATATATACCCATCCCAAAAGCTGCTGATCCATTCCATTCCATCCAAAAGTAGTAGTAGACTAGACTAGTTACCCTTATTTATTACCTTCTTCTTCTTCTTCTTCTGCTGGGCCTGGGATGTTGTAGTTTTGGTCAAGCAGAGGGTGGTGGTGGTGGCAGCGGTGAGGTGGTGGCGGAAGCAACATCAGCGATTGGGAGCTTGGCGGCGGATTTGGGCCTCTTGCGCTTCTTCTCGTAGCTGACCCCTCTGGCCTTGGCCTGGAAGTCCCGGACCTCCCTGAGGAAGATCCTGACGGCCCGAGTGCCGAATGGGTTGGACTCGGGCCTGCCGCCGTGCTCCTCGTAGGCGGCCCGGAGTCTGCCGATGAGGGCGTCGAGGCTGCCCCAGGCCTGGCGGAGAGGGCAGGGGCAGGGTGCGGGAGGGTTGGGGAGGCCGTAGAAAGGGCAGCTCTGGGAGTGGACTTTGGTCTTCCCGAACTGGTCCAGGTACCGCAGAAACTCCAGCACGTGGGCCCCGCTGCACATCGGCAGGCTCAGCGGCGGCCTGTGGTTCCGCAGGTACTGGCAGAACGTGTTCCAGTCCCTCCTCTTCTGGTTCTCGTACCGGCTGCTCGTCGCCGCCGCCGCGGTGCCTCCGCCGCCGCTGGAAGGAGGCGGTGCGGTCATCATCACCAGCTGGCTGCCGGCGTGCATATCCATGGGTAAAAATTGAATTGGTTAGGGCTTTTTTTGTGGTGGGGAAGAGGGACAGTGCTATTTTTGTTGCTTCTTCTGGTTTCTTTTTTAAGGGTAGAAGAAGGACAGCAGCAGCAGGGATGGATGGATTGATTAATAAGGCTGGATAGCAAAGAGAGGCCTTTTGATTTAAAGATGGAAGCTGCAGGGAGAAGCAAAAGTGGGAATTTCTTGCATGGTAAAATGGGGTAAAGAGAAAACAAAAAATTAAAGATGGATGATGGGATTTGTGAGGGAAGTGGGTGTACTACTTGATCAGTGATGAAGAGACCAGACGAGCTGTGAGAGAGAGGGAGAGAGGGAGATCTGGGGAGATGGATGGAAGACTGCAGTTTAATTGGAGACTTTGGGGGAAGTAAGTAAGTAAACAGTAATGAAAGGTACTACTACTACTGCACCAAATATGCTCGACGGAGAGAGACAGAGAGAGAGAAGGGGAAGAGATTAGATTCAGACCCAGAGATTGTGTTTCCAGGAAAAGAGCATACAACACTCCAACTTCTTCTGGCTGCTGTTGCTGTTGCTATTGATGATATAAAGTTTCGAGAGGAAAATAATTGGACAAGGAAGGAGAGCGACACAAGGAGATAGAGAGAGGGGAGAAGAGAAGAGAAGAGATGACTACTTATTCAACATTGACAAGAGGGAAGGGAAGGGAAGAAAGAGGGTCCCTCCCTCCCATGGCAATGCCTGCCTCTCCTCTCTTCTGCTGCTGCCTTTTTCACTTTTTTTTTTCTCGTTTTCTTATGTAGTGAGTGGGTAAGGTAAGGTAAGGTAATTGAAGATTTAATTATTCCCTCGACTACGCAAACGCAATGCTAGCGTGTGAGCGTGTGGATTAAAAAAATCATACACACCATCGAACAAAATACCCATGCACATTGCCCTAAATACGTACTTCCCCTATTCCTACCATTTTTCTTATATATTTTACACTTATGTATTAAGTAAAAGGGTTAATATCTTAGTTTTGCTTGAACTATAGACAAACTTTCTACTTTGGCCCGTGGTATCGGAAATTGCTATTCTGGCCTAAACTATGTAGCATACTTTCTTATTTGGCCCGGAGGCGGGTTTGACCGTCAAATTAGACGGTCAACCGAGTTGACCGTTAGTCAAGGTCCACCTCACTTGCCACATCAGCTATTAGGGAATAAAAAATTAATTTTGTATTTTGAATTTTTTTTTACTTTCTAATAATAAAAATAATAAACGAAAAAAATTAATTAAAAAAGCTCCCCAAATTATTTTTATTTAATTTTAGAAAGTAAACAAAACTCAAAAATTCAAATAAAATAATTTTTTATTCCTTGATAGCTGACGTGCCAAGTGAGGTGGACTTTGACTAACGGTCAACCTAATTTGACGGTCAAACCCGCCTCCGGGCCAAATAAGAAAGTATGCTACATAGTTTAGGCCAGAATAGCAATTTCCGATACCACGGGCCAAAGTAGAAAGTTTGTCTATAGTTCGGGCCAAACTAAGGTATTAAGCCTAAGTAAAATATCATAATAATAATTATCTTCATTAATTGGTTGTTTAGATTCTTGGCCATTAATAAAATGGAGATCATTTTAAATATAATAGTAAAATCATTCCATCGGTGAAAAAGATTAATTCGTGTTAAAACAGAGAAGATACAAGCAAATTAAAAAAGTATCAAAATTTTATTTTATTTTTACCAATAGATCTTACCCGCCCCCCTCCAACGGGGGTCGTCACCGTTGGTTCTGCCATCGTCGGTGACGGTCGCTCATGAGCTTCACTCTTTGGGATAGCACTGGATAATCGTCTTGAGTACTATGAGGCTGAGTACGTTAATGGTTCACTACATATATTGCGAAAGGTAGTGTATCAGGACGCAAAGAGATGGGAGCACAGTCAGTCAGCCAGTTCTTGGTCACAAGTCACACGACTTTGTCAAATCAGGCAGCCATTAGTACGATATTGTCCGCTTTGGGCCAAGCCCGCACGGTTTTACTCTTGGGTGTCCTCCCTAAAAGGTCTCGTACTAATGAGCTTGGTGGACACTAATATACAAGGGTTCCTTCCCTTGTATTTCCGTTGTGGTGCTTGGATTGTCCCATAACAATTAGTACGTAGGACCCACCTCAGGAGGTCATAGCTGCCTTGAAGCATATGTGATCACCTTCTTGTCCTGCATCAGTACACAACAAAAGCCCTGATAGGAAGCATCACTATAGATGGAATACTCTCCTCCACTGGTCGATAGTGCCAACACTGGTGCAGATGTCAACTTCTCCTTCAGTAACTCAAAAGATGCTTGACACTTTCATCCCAGACAAATGACTTCCCCTTCTATAACAATTGAGTCATTGGCCTGGCAATGCTGGAGAAACCTTCCACAAACCTCCGGTAGTACCCCACTAAATCCAGGAAACTTCAAACTACAGCCACATTCTTAGGTGGAACCCAATTCATCATCGCTTCGATCTTCTTGGGATTAACCTCTACTCCTCGTCCAGAGACGACATGTCCCAAAAACAAGACTTCTTCTAGCAAAAACTCACACTTGGAGAATTTGGCATACAATTCCTCCTCTTTCAACTTCTGCAAGACTAACCTCAAATGCCTCGCATGTTCCTCCCGACTCTCTGAGTAGATCAAGATGTCGTCAATGAAAATAATAACGAATTTATCCAAGTACTCATGAAGAACTCGGTTCATCAAGGCCATGAAGGCTGCTGGAGCATTGGTGAGTCCAAACAGCATGACCAAAAACTCGTAGTGACCATATCGAGTATGTAAAGTCGTCTTAGGAATCTAACCGTCTGCCACCCTTAGCTGACGGTAGCCAAACGACAAATCAATCTTTGAGAATACCCTTGCTCTCGAAAGTTGATCGAAGAGGTAATCTATCCTTAGCAGAGGATAGCGGTTCTTGATGGTGGCCTTATTCAGCTTCCTATAACCGATGCACAATCTCATTGTGCCATTCTTTTCTTCACGAACAACACGAGTGCTCCCCAGGGAGACATGGTAGGACGAATGAAGCCTTTTTCCAGCAACTCTTGCAGCTGTTCCTTCAACTCCTTCAGCTCCACTGGCGCCATCCGATAAGGGGGAATAGATATAGGTGATGTGCTAGGAGTCACCTCTATATCAAACTCTACCTCACTTTGTGACGGTAGTCCAGGAAGCTTCTCGGGGAACACTTTGGGGTATTCCCTCACTACAGGAACATCTTCCTCCTGAATTAGTGTGAAGGCTTTCACTGCCAAAATCAAACCTCCAGGAATCAATTTCTTCGTCCCCTTGAACAAAGTCGTACCTTGCCTTCAATTTTGAGACTAACCTCTTTTCTACTAGCGGCGAAAAGAACGTTGGAACGACTAGTGACAAATATCATTACTTTCCTAAGACGTGTGAAAGATTATAAGTTGAGAGGAATGGTGAGTTGGGGAGATTTCGTCGATATCTCGGTTTGCCGGCGAACGGGGGAATAATCTGGCGGTTTCTTCCTCCTCCTTCCTTTTGCTCCTCTCCTATCTTTTCTTCGTGTTCTACTCGTTCAGAGTGTTTGGGGCGATTTGGGAGATGGAAAAACGTGAATGAAAGAATAGCAAAAAAAAATGACAACTTATATATCAGGTCGAACACGGGCACATGACACGACCGTGTTCTTACCCGTGTTTGCCCCAAACGTCGTGCCTCGTTCCGCCAGTCCGTCATCATTTTTCGATACCTTAAGTGACATGGCCAACCAACATGGGCATGTTCAGACAGTGTTACGTTTCATCTTTGATTCCTCCAAAATGACTCGTCCACCAACCCTCGATCTTTAAAACGAGCATTTAATGGAACATGATCTAGTGACACGGGCGTGTTCACTGATCGTGTTAAACCCTCCACTGTCTTGTGTACTACTTCGTCAGAATGACACACCTAACCGAACATGGCCTAGCAACACGTTCATGTTCTAGCTTGTTCCTCCTTCTTCAATGTTTTCTTAAACCCAACTGTCTCCCAAATCTTTCGATCGAACCTAAACCGGAACTCAGGGTGTTACACAAAATTTCGGTTGCCGTCGATCTTGCTCCATGTTGTCTTGGAATTCCTCAATTAATAACCTCAGGCCTGAAGTTCGCGAAGAATGAAAAATTAATGTAATTTAGCTAAAAATAAAATATAAAAAATAATGAAAAGGAACTAGATAATCTTGGGTTGCCTCCCAAGAGCGCCCTTTCTTTTATGCTTTGAGCTAGGGATAGCCTGTTTAATCTTCTTCTTCTAATGAAATATGTTCATTATAAGGTACATGTTGCTGAGAGAGATATGGTTTGCGGCGACGGCCATTCACTCGGAAGATGTTCCTTTGATGGTTGTATAGATCCACTGTACCATATTGGTCGACTATATGAATTTTATAAGTCCCCGTCCATCAAGATTTCTTCTTTTCTGGATGTATTCGTAACCTAGTGTTGAAGAGTAATACTTGTTCCCCAAGTTGAAGCTCTTTCCTTATAATCTGTACATCGTAAAATCTCTTCAGTTTCTCCTTGTATAGATTCGTGTTCTCATCAGCATGGAGTCAAAATTCTTCGAGTTCGTAGGGTTGATATTTTCTTTCTTCTCTAGCTAGTGATAAATCCAGATTGAGATCTTTAATATCCCAATAAGCTAGATGTGAGAACCGCGCTTCTAGGGATTCTCGATACTGATCTTCGGCACTCGTGATAATTAGGGATTTAGGGTTTGAGAGAAAGAATTAGGGATTTAGATGGGAAAGAATAGAATTGGGAATCGGCCGAGGCCTTGGACTAGGATGAGATGAGAAATTAGGAGTTGAGGGAGATTAGGGTTTAGGAGACTGTTCTTAATATTCTTATTGACTGATTATGACGTAAACCCAAAGTACATATATATAGGAAATACTGGAAAATCCTAATAATAATCCTAATACGACTAAATCTCTACTAACCATAATTATCATTATCCTACCT